TGTTTGTTGTAAGGGTGGCGACTCACCAGTGAAGGAACCAAGGCCCGGGAGTATCGGCTGGCAGATGGGCTCGAATGAGGCGAGAGGGCGCAGCCTGGGAGTAGGGAAACCAGCCTCTGAATCGAATGATAACTCCTCCGAACTCCACAGCGATGACGTCCCGACGAGGTCTGAAAAAAGAAATAAGTCAGGCGACAATCCATTAGTTCCGGTTTAACGACGTACGGGTTCAAGGTACTTCACTGGTCTTGATGCACTTTGCAATACATCGAATGCATGGATGCTGCGAGGATGTACAGTCAGTGCCTCGTGAGATGTCATACAATAGCGTCAATAACGCACTGCCAGGAGGTGGAAGGGATGCGCAATCCCTGCGAGAGGGTTTGAACAAGGAATCGAATCGAAGAGGACTCTGCGAAGCGTGGTCTGCGCCATCAATGCGCAGCTCGACGACCTCGTCCGGCACCAAAACGAAAGTGTGTTCGCCGACAGTGAAATCGGACGCGACAGTGCCGCCGTTGATGATATTGAGGGTCGGGAGTGAAGGGGGAGTATAGTCAGAGTCCATAAAACGGGTTCGAGGATGTATAACTCACAGTGTCGAAGAAGAGGTCAATGACGTGGTCAGCGGGCGCGCTAGCACCAGGGTCGATGAAGGTCTACCCAACTGTGAACGTGCGAATAAGACTTCTGGGAAGTCCGAACATACAGCCAGCTGATATTCCTGGAGTACGCTTCCGGAACCTATGAGGGGCACGGGGCCAGGGTCAGCGCGGACGTCAGAGGGTCTCGGATGGGAGCGCCAGCATAGCGTGGATGGCCTTGATGTTGTCCTTGTCCACTGAGTTTCGATGAGCGATAAGTGGTGACAGGAGTTAACGAGATAGTTACAGTTTTTGCTCGATCCTTGGGCGATCTGCAATGTGTGTGAGACTAGTAGTTTGTGCGCTAGTCGAAGAACCCACCATCGGGGCTCTAATCCAGTAATTCCCAGGAACGGAGTTTGCATGGAGCTACGGTTAGGTCAGAACGTTCCACTCGACAGAACCCTTTGTCGAAAATACACGTACGACGACACTGTATCGCTGGGCTAAATGGGATATCAGGAAAAGATGTCTGCTGGTAATAGTTGCTACGTACTTACTGGCGTCAATCACGAAGCTGCTGCATGTCTGAAAAACATGCATGCATCAGTGGAAGGAATTCGGACGCCGAGAAATGAACTGACGTGTGGCACAGTGGCAATACCATCGCTCTCGATGACGTCGAAGCTGAGTAAATCGATATCGTGGCAAGAGCAAAGGCTGTGACCTGTCACCTCCTTCCCCGGCCTCGGAGGTTTCGGTCCGTATTGTGGGAAGTTGCAGTAGGCGAGAAGGTTCCATCGGACAGAATTGATTACCTTGGTATTTACCATAGCGGGTCCGAGACCCGCGTGCAAGATTCCATATTCATCGTTTTGTCATTTCAATCAAGGAACCAACTTCATTGAGGTTTGACATTTGACAGAATGCTGTGGCCAAGTTGGGCGCCGCGTCGTTAGATGTTCAAATCAGTTCCATGAGATCGTCAAATTTCTTCCCGATACGGCATATTTAAGAAGAGTAGTTGTATATTTCCCGCTGTGCTTAAGTTAAATAATATGAGATCAAAGATGGCAGTTGTCGCACCGCGCCATTTGCAACCCAGAACCATGTGCTCTACTGCAGGTCATTAGGGTGGGTTCTACCATGATTTATAACGGCTAAGATCCAAGAGAAGCGCCCTATTCTATATGCCAATCCGGTGTGATCGATATCCGACTGTTGAATTAACTCACTTGGGCTCGCAAAACATGTCAACAACCTCGGATCCACATAAGGGTGAACCCGTTGCTATTATCGGTGCTCAGACTCTCTTGACAGAAAACTGTCACGGCTGGCTGGATGGATCCGGTTTATGTCGGCCCCCGATTATTGTTGTGTCTAGCCATTCTTCGTCAGATGGATCCCACAAAAATTGCTTGTACGTAAGAGCTGAAAGTCTATTATTCCCATCCCATCATGCGGTAGGAACCAGATCATCAGCATTTCCTATGGCATTGCCTGTGGCACTCTTGGCAGAAATAGCTCGAAAGCAGGAATAGCTCGAAAGCAGGCATGTCTCGAAACCAAAAAAGGGGGTTACTGAAGTACATCCAGATTAAGCGACATCTGGATGGAATTTCTCCCAACATGAAACAACAATGGTCAGTTGTGGTCCTGGGAGGCGTCCCCATGCATGGAGGAGCAAGTTAATCCTGAAGCACGTCTGTTGGGACGTAGGAGTTTAAAACCAAAGTTGGAGAAGAGGATAGTTAAACGCCACTGCGCGCCGAAGTGCAGCCAGTGTTTCAGTAGATAGCAAGCCCGAAATCGAGTCCGTGCACCGAATGGGCAATCATGGTATTGGTTTTGTGGGGAGAGGATGAAGACGATTTCTACTGCGTATAGTTCTGATCCCGTCGGTGGGTCAACGTCTACCAGATTTCAAACGAGGACGCCAACGGGTACCCGACTTATCCGTCAAGTGCACATCCCGCTTCAACAGCGTGTCCGCCAAACCGACCCAAAAACTCTTGGAGATCGCGTACCTGGTAAGCGTGAGCATCTGCATCGGAAATACTAGAAACACGTACTCAGTTGTGGGCCATTCGCACGACAGTACACGGATCTCGCGCAGGGCGGGAAAGCACGAGATCTCCAGACCTTTGAAAAACATTCGCCAGTCTTCTTGTTTCTCTTTCAGCGTCGTGGACCTATTCAGGAAGTAAGTAGATGGAATACCATCAAATGAAGAGGGCGCACTCTGGGTCCTTCCGGAGAATCAACGTAGCAAGGGCGGTGTGTCGGAAGTCTGCGTCGCATCCGAGATTCTGAAGCCATACCTCCTTGAGCGCACGAAGGTTTGTTGAAAGCACACGACTCACCATGCTGTAGGTGGTGGCTTCGCACTCAAAGACGGACAGCCGTGGACAGAACGCCAAGATCGGCGTGCGCGCGATTGTTGGCTTTTTGGCGCACATGTCCGTTATCTTATTACCGTGCGTGCGCAAAAATGTCTCGCCGAATCCGCGCTCAAATTCGAAGTCAAACGAGACGCGGCGCAAACTCGGAAGGCTACATAGAATGCGGTGAGTATTGATGTCAATCGGTTAACCGGAGACGCACTCCATGCCATCGAGCACCTCAAACAACTCGTGTGATTTCAGGTGCAAAATCTCCAGGGCGGGGAGCCCGTTCTTCGGCACCGGCACCTTCTTGTCGAAGAAGAACGACGTGAGCACGGGTCTATACCCGCATTCCCAAGTCAGAAAGCGCATTTCAGTAAACCGCTCGAAAATCGCCGGTGACTCTGGCGTCGTCTCCTGGAATTCGAAGCCCGACATCTCCTGGAGCGTGGCGCCAGCGATATTCGCAAGCGCCGTAACAGCCATCCACAGGATTGGCGCAGGCGCCGGGCCACTCCCGAATAAATCTATCGCATCAGCCCCATCGCCCTGGATGCGTCGCAGGCGTGGTGTATTGAGGAATAGGCGCGTCAAGTCGACAACGGGGGCGCCGTCATTGCGCTCGAATGGGTAGCCGTGAATTTCCAGCTCGCGGACGTACGTTGCTACGATGGGGGCGGCGACTAATCGCGCCGAAAAGCGGTGCAGGAAGAACTCGCGCAGGAACGTCACATAGCGGTAAAGATACGGGATCGCGAGATGCTGGAATAAGCTTCAATCAATGGGCGAACCTGACCTGGTTCAAGAAGCTGACTCACATGGAACATCTTAGACACCAACAGGAACGGCAGGTGGCTGGAATGCTTGTCTGGATGGCTTTCCCTTGCCTCGAGGGGAAGCATGGCAAAAAATAAGACCCGCGACCAAATGGAATCGACCACGGTTTGCGGATAAGATGCCATCGGTTGGAATGCCGGATCGGTGGGAGCGCAGGGATTGACTTTGTACTTTGATGCAGACGGTTCTTCCCTGGATCATCCCGCATGCTCGGTTGAGGACGAGGCAAAAAAGAACTGGGACTTACGGTGTCTCCTCCAACCAACGTACAAGTGCATGCAGACGGGGGTCCATCGATATCTTGGAGGTCAGTATCTCCGAGTTGTTCGATGGCCACCTGATTTCGATGGATTCAAGCGAGGGATTTCGTGCGATGCTGGTGAAAAATGGAATATCGTGCTCGAACAGAGTAGGGAACGAAATGGCTTTGAGCATCGAGCAACGACACAACGATTTGATGAATGATCGGTGTTCGCTGGTGACGAGAATGAAATATGGAAAGGATATGGTGTTCTACGTTCGATCAGCATTATCTCTGAGGAGAAAAAGGAAGCACGCACGAGATTCGTCCATGTCGTTGTGCACCGCTCTAGCATTTCAAGTTTTTCAGTGAAAAAATCAGTGAAAAATGTTTTGCATTTTACACAAGTTTTTCAACGAAAATGTTGGTGAAAACCTTGAAACTTCTTCATGAATTTTTTGAACTTCAAAACTTTTTTCACCACATTTTCACAATATTCAAAAAATTCAGGAAAAGGTTTCAAGTTTTTCACCTAATTTGTTGCTCAAAAACTACTGAAAAACTCAAAACCTTTTTCACCAATTTTTTCACCGAAAAACTCGAAATGTTCAAGCAGTGGTACCTCCTGATTCCAGTCCAAAATCAGATGAATGAACCGCTGGAGATGGATTTAGCAGCATAAATCAGACAGCACATCCAAAAAATGGAGAATGGACCAACAACGCACACAAAATGCATAAAGCACGAAAAAAGACTCATATCGGCTACATGTGCCGTCCGGGGCTCGATGTCTTAGTCAAGAGGGAAATAAAGGTTGTGTGTTACCACTACACCAACGGCACGATAATGTTGCAGCCCCACCTGACTACATACACACTTCATCCTCAATTCACCTCACCACTGAGAGTAGACAATAAAATCAGGAATTTCTCGAGGAAGATGTTGCCGAGGATATGCGCCGTCCGGGGCTCGAACCCAGGACCCAACAATAAACATGGAGAACTGGGTTCGGATTAGAATATGGTTACTGCTCCACCAACAGCGCGATCAATTACCTCTTCCCTTCCCTTCATCCCTCTTCACCTTCATCTTCATATCACTCGATCCACTGAAAATGCAGTGTTCGCCCTTAAGGCCTTAATGGCACTTCTGAGAGTCTAAGGCCTCAGCTTTAAGGCCTCCATTAATTAATATTTTCTATTAATATAAATATATATTTTCTCCGCAGTGTAGCCAAGTACGGCGACGAGTTCAAGTGTGTCTCTTCCGTTACATGTGAATTCATAGTTTGGCTGCAATCATACCAAGTATTAGCTTACATACTCATCCTCAGATGGAATCTCTACTGCTCTGTCATCTGGCTGCTCATCCTCCTCCGCAGCCTGCCGCGTCTGCCAAAGCGACCATGAGATGCATCTCTGCCTCGATCTCCTCCTGGGAGAGTCTAAGTGTGTGTTTCTTCTGGGACCCCCCAAAAAGCTCAGTGTCCACTTCTTCCACTTTGAGCACCAACTATTAGGAGGTGTGGGAGCGTTCGCAGCCCAGAAATCCGGTCCGAAGCTCTAAGGCCTCTAAGGGATGGAAAAAAATTCTGTGGATCTCTAAGGCTTACTTTACTCTAAGGCCTTCCTTCCTAAGCCTTAGACCTTAGGGCGAACACTGTGGAAATGTAGCAGTAAAAATAAGAAAATCAGACAAACCTCCCCGAACAAAAACCTCGAATCCTAACATGCATGCGCCGGCCTGGGCTCGAACCCGGAACCCAACCCAAATCCACATAGCAATGTACACATAGAGGTTGTGTGTTACCGCTACACCAACGGCATGATCACTCGCTGCCTTCGCTTCACGCCTTTATGACCTCTTCATCATCGCTCCTTTTACCATCTTATCATATCACTCGCCTTGATGCAACGTCTCACTCTGCGGCATTTGCGCGGACGCTGACGCGGACACGGGAGACCCGCGCAGACGCGAGGCATCGGCCATAACCCACTGACATCGACACGTAAACCGCCTGCCTGCCTTGCCCCGGGGTGGTGATAAGTTAATCGGATGCGCTGGTGTTAATCGGGTGCGCTGCTGCGCGACGGCGAGCGGGTTACCGTTAGCTTATTCACTCGGGACGACACACGCCGACGTGCTGCTAAATTAACGGCCACCGCCGCTGCGCGACGGCGAGCGGGGAGCGTTCGTGGCTTCCACAATGATTCTCAGGATGAACCCATTGAGTTCACGGGACATGCGCCGACGCTGCTAAATTAATGGCCACCGCCACCGCCCGACGACTCGCGGGTCGTATTCCGCTGGCTTACTCATTGATTAATATTCGTTCGGGATGACGTGCGCCGACACGCTGCTAAATTGCGCCGACGGCGACACGCTGCTAAATCAAGCCAACGCGGAGACCGCGCCTAAGGACCGGCGGCGGCGGAACGCGCCAATGCGATGATGACAAAGCAGCGTGGCAGATCTTACGCGCCAATTTCAAGCCACGACGCGCCAATGACGCGGCGCCATCAACCCCGGACGCACGCAGGCCACAACGCGATGACACAACGCCGCAACGCGCTAATGAGGCGGCCGCGGCACATCACGCACGGATGCAACGTGGGCGGTTCGTGAGCCAGGAGAACTGGCGCGGGACGAAAACAACGACGCGATGCTAGTAAGATTCATGCCGCACAAATAAAGAAAATTGGTTAAACATCCGTTTTTTTCAACGTCCACTCCAACGCCCAATATCCCCAAGTTACACTCCTCAGTTAACCGCCCTCCCAAACAAATAGACCCCGAAAATCGGATAATAAGTACATATTAAACTATGAAAGCACCGAACGCGTTACGCCATATCGTCCCATCCCATGATCACTCCCTAGGTATCCCGATACTCCGGCGGAGCCACCTCCGCCTCGTCATCACGCGTGCGGCCTTGCAGCCGCGCATTCAACAACATTATCAGCTCCGACGTCGGCAGGTCGACGGGCGAGAAGAACGTGCCCCCGCCCGCGCTGCTGCCCGCGCTGCTGCCCACAGTCGCCCCGGTTGATATCGAAATCTTCGGCGTCCCGCCTCCTCTTGTCATTTGCGAGCCCGAGCACGATCCCGAGTGCGCGGAGCCTGAATAGGTATATGTATGCGTATGCGCCTGTGGACGGGACTTCTCCCCAAGTCGTCTTGAAGCAGGAGCAGAAGCTGGAGGAGGAAGAACAGGAAAGAACGGCACGCTGCCAGTGCCCAGCTGTGCGGTAGACTGCGTCGCACTGAAAGGATGTATTGTGGACTCCGTAGGCGATACGGTGAAAGCGACGCGCGCCCGGCGCCTCATAATAAACCAGCCAAACACCGCAATCTCGACGATGACCACAGCGCCCACAACGCCCCCCGCAATCGCCGCTGCGTGCTGGTGCGCGTTCCTCCCTTTCCCATCCAAACTGGGTGTCGTCTGAGATGCGGTCGCTGCCGGGCTCCCAGACGCAGTCGCGGATGTAGTAGAGTTGTCGCTCGCGGGTAAGAGGGCCGCGGCGAGCAGTACGCTGAGCGCGCCGGTCTGGTTCGCTTGCGAGAACGCCGCGCTGGGCGGGCCCGTCCACTGTCCGCTGTAGATGTTCGTCCCGTCCGACGTGGCAAAATCGGTGACTGCGTTGAACTAGAAATTAAGGTAGAATTTGTTAGTGAACAGTGAGTGGTGATGAGCACGACCACAGGCCCAGAGATGATGGGATGAACACACCTGAACTCCGAGATAAGCCTGCACATATACGCGCACCTCAGGTGAAGTGGCGTTGCGCCGGTACGTAGACGCGAGCGCACGGACGACGAGCGAGTCCCCGATGTTGAGGGCTACGAAATACCGCCGCGATTATTCAAAGCACAGCTTGAAAACTTGGAAGCACGAACGGGTATCAGATATCCCCTCGTACGTCTGCCACGCAGGATTCGACAACACCTCCGTGATCAGATCGTCCAGCCTACCCACCACCGTCAGCTCAGCTCAGCTCAGCCACGTAACTCCCAACTTTTACAGTGGGATTAGAAGGGGGACTCACAAAGCCTGTGTGGAGACGTTCCGCGTGAGCGAGACAAGCGTCGCCAGCCCCTCCACGAACAAGTCCGAGTTGTACGAATTGGTGGTCGCGTCGAGGATCGCACAGGAGTCGTTCTGCCGCGCGGACATCGACTGCTGGACGAGGTTGTTGTTGTAGAGGTGGGTACGGATGAAGGCCGCGGATTCGAGAGCGGCGGTGAGGTATATGGGATTGGAATTGGAGGTGGCTTCTGCCATCAGGGTGGATAGCCTGGAGGAGAGGTTGAATAATGAATGGTATGTAGAACTTGTATCGACGTACACCAGGAAATATCTGGGCGCCGCATGTCAGCGATTAGAGGCCTGCGAAAATTCAATGAAACGGAACGCACCCAGTCGACATCGCCGCTACACTAGGATCCGTCGGCGTCGTAGTCTGCTTGCACATGAATCAGCGCCCCTTCCAAGCGTCACATGTCGGAATACTTGCCCAAAACGTCCCGCCCGCCATCGTCGCTGTCAACTCAAGATCAGTTCGGATTCAAATACATATAACATAGAAAGAAAGAAACGCGCACTTCCACCGCAGACCCCTTGCACCGGCACGTCCTTTGTAGAGAGGTTTCCCGCCGTCTGGGATATCGTGTAAGCCCGCCCAAAGGACCAGGACTGGTTGGCGTATTGGAGAAAGACTGGGTCCTGGTATGCGGTGTAGGCTCGGATTGCAGCGTAGCCGTAAGTTCTAGATGAATGCGTTCAGCAAATTGTGCCTGAAATGAAGGGAATGATATACAGGCCGTAGTTCAGCTATCGAATTTGTGTGCGGCGGCATCAGCGAAGGACGGTGCTATCATTGCGGGGATCACTAACACTTTGGTGGGTTCACCTCAGTCCCAAATAGCTAACCCGCAGGATACAAAGGAAGACTTACTAGGTATCAGAAAAATTCGCCCGCGTCTGCTCGGTGAGCGCAAAATACCGCTGCAGCGAATCGTGGTATATCCGTTGGTTGGTAACGATGTCAAACTCCGCCATCTGGGAGTACACCGTGCCGACGACCTCGTAGGTCTGACCTGTATATTATTATTTATTTAAGTAACAGGCGAGAGGTGATTTTTTATTGTTGCTGCCCACCGTCGAATTGGTTGGTGACGTTCAACATGTCGATGGCCTTCTCCAGAGCGGCCGCAGCGGTGGTAATCCGCGCAGCGGGCGATACCCTCACATTCGGTCTCTGCAAGCACATGAATAGGCTATTAATGCGGAGGAGAGAAATTCACGCACGCGCCAAGACGAGGTGACGACTCCTGCCGCCGGCGCGACTAAAATCGATAGGGTAATAAGATGAAGTGGCCAGCCGAAGAAACGCAGGAGAGTGGATGAGAGCATGCAGAAACGGAAAGCTCAATCTCGCGCAGTTAAAGAACCGTAAGAGCTGTATCCGAAACAACAATCAGTTAGGAGATTGTAGGATGCATAGTGCGTGAGGATCGTCCCCCTGGTACGCAGTGCGTGGAGATCGTCCTCCTGGTACGCAGTGCATGGGGATCGTGTCCTGGTAACAGGGACGGAGAAGGGACTGGATGTGAGTGGATGTAAGTGGATGCGGGACCCAACGAACATCCTGGAAGTATCAAAGTTACCGTCAGGCACGGTATTGTTACAGTTCTGTAACGGACAGAATAGCACCTAAAATACCCGGATTCTATTGAGCGGAATCGAGATAAGCCCCTCTTCCGGCCCAAGACAAAAATATCGAGGCAACTCGGGAAGTCCACACAGAACTATATGGAGTAATATGCGCCCTGCGGAATTAGCTGATTAGGATGAATGGACTACCGCTACAAGACGAGTGGCCGGAAGCGCCGGGCAATGGTCGGGGCGATAGCGGGTGATGTTGACGTGATTCTTGAAACAGCGGCCATGTAATTGGCGGGGACCTCGACGACTAGCGCGCGCGCCGTACATAGATCCCGGAAGCAGGCGTACGGGAAGGTACCGGAATCAGGAGGCCGAGC